GTTGTGCAATAATTGGCTGTTGATTGCTGGTGTTGACTTCTTGATGTGTAGTGCCTCGCAAACGTCAAGCCGCCTGCTATCGCAGAGGTTGCATGGCGTTTCACTTTCCTTCTTATGATGTCTTCGACGAAACCATTGGAGAAGCCGTTGTTGACTAGGACCTGCCTTACCCTACAGAGTCCTAGTCAACAACGGCTTCTCCAATGGTTTCGTCGAAGACATCATAAGAAGGAAAGTGAAACGCCATGCAACCTCTGAAGAGACAACTAACACAACACCTATACCCCCTATTAGACTATTTTACAGGAACTTCTTTTCCACAGCTCATAAAACGGAGGAAAGGGTCCTGAAAGATATTGTTAATAGAAACGTTATCCCTACAGACAGAAATCAGAGGATACAACTGACGATTTACTATAAAACCAGAAAAACGGCCAGCCTACTCATGAGAAACTCTACAGACACAAAACAGAACGCTTTAAAAGAGACTAACGTCGTCTATGCCTTCAAATGCCCTCTTGGGGACTGTAAGCTCCAAAAAACCCAGTATATAGGCAAGACAACAACATCTCTTTCTAGGCGTTTAACGATGCATAAGCAACAGGGCTCCATTAAGGAACATATAATCTCTTCCCACAACCAAACTATCGCCAGAGAAATCCTAGTAAACAACACAGAAATCATCGATAGATACAGTGATAACAGGCGGTTTGACGTTTGCGAGGCACTACACATCAAGAAGTCAACACCAGCAATCAACAGCCAATTAATGCACAACTATATTCTACCCACCTCAAGACTCCGCTCCAATATAGAAGCATCAAGAAATATGGACCAATAGGCTTTCTACAAACACTTCTATTCAATACCAATTGTTTCGTGTTCTGTCTTGTGTTGATGAAATTAATACCCTATTAATACCACCTCTTGTTCTGTCTTGTGTTGATGAAATTAATACCCTATTAATGCCACCTCGTGTTCTGTCTTGTGTTAATGCCACATCACCCCTTCCACCTCACTCAAATGTAGATATAAAATCGGAGATGCGTAAGTTCTATTCAGTTGTGTATTTGTGAACTAAAGTCTTTGAAAATGTAATAAGTTTTACGAAACGCGCTCGTGTCGCGTCAGACTAGAAATAAAAATGAATTTTGGAGAATTGATTTTTTATTTACCTCCAACAGTGAAAAGAAATGTACGAAAGATTGAGAAAATTCGTGTTAGAATTATTAATCTTACTTTTTCGGTCATATTTAATAATATATGTCTACAGGAAAGACTGCTACCAAAATATACTAATATTAAAGCGCACGACCCAGCAGCAAGGAATCAAGCCTTCACGATAAAATATCGCCAGGATCTGATTCGTGATCAGATATACAAGGCAGAGAATGAAATCAAAGACAACAAAACGCAACTACTTCATGCTACAAACGAGTGGAGAAATAGCAACATCGACGAAAGTATCCGTACCCGCATTGAACAACAACTCGACATCCTCACAGACCAACATCACCTCAACACTGAAACAAGGATTATCAAGAAACTAACAACATTATATGGAGGACCTATGGCAATTCCACGACCAAGAGATGGCTTCCTGAACCTTGCAGGGATTAACCTCACTGAGGACCAAGTCACTCTCCTAAATCTGGGCATAAACTGTCATGTTATGTCCAGACCGAGTGAGATGGCCCGGAAAGTAGAGTTGGAAATTCTGTTGGACGACATATTCGACCTCGAGACACAAAAGAAGGTCACTACCAAAGATACCTTACAAGCAGAACTTATTGCAGAAGGAGGAAAGAATCGAGGCAATTACAGAAGCACCATACTGTCCCCCGAGCTCAAAGCGGCAGCTAAAAGCCTTCGTGAGAACAAGGAGATAGTTGTCAGGAGAGGTGATAAGTCGCCAATATATGTCATTCTTAAAAAAGACGAATATCTGGCGAAAATGAACATCATACTCTCTGACCAAACTAAGTTCCAAAGGGTAACGAAGGACACTACAGCCGAATTAAAAGCAAAGGTCAACAAACTGATCGAAACTGTGAACGCCAAGAAATCCGGACTCCACCTGCCAAAGATCATTGGGGAATATAAACTCGGATATGCGTATGGAAATGTCAAGACACACAAGCCTGGAAACCCACTTCGGCCAATCATTAGCCAGATACCCACACCCACGTACAGACTGGCGAAGCGACTCAACGGCCTGCTGACTCCTTATGTTCCTTGCGCCTTCAGCCTGAAGTCTCCAAAGGAATTTGTTGACTTACTGCGGGGCACACAGGCCACAGGGATAAGAGCCTCGTTGGACGTAGAATCGCTGTTTACCAACGTACCTGTGGACGAGACAATCGGGATGATAGCCGACAGAGTGTATCGTGATCCAGCCTGTACTCCTCTTGACATACCAGAAAATATTCTGAGGAAACTACTCCAAGCTTGTACTAAAGAGGCACCCTTCTTGAGCCCGGATGGACACATGTATAAGCAAGTAGATGGGGTCGCCATGGGTTCTCCCCTAGGTGTCCTGTTTGCAAACTTCTACATGGGTACCATCGAGCAAAAAGTCTTAGTCGACATGAACTTGAAACCGGCCATATACTGCAGGTATGTTGACGACATTTTTACACAGGTACCTGATGTCAGACATCTGCAGGAGCTGAAGGAGGCATTTGAGCAGAGTTCCGTGTTGCGTTTCACTTACGAGATGGAAAACGATGGGAAGCTGCCCTTTCTAGATGTAACAGTCATGGAAAAGAGCGGAGGTTTCCACACTGCAGTCTACACTAAGGAAACGAACATAGGAATGTGCCTAAATGCCAACAGCGACGGCCCAGACAGGTACAAGAGGAGTGTTGTTAACGCATATGTCGACCGTGCTCTCAGCCACAGCTCAGAATGGAAGCAAGTCGACGAAGAACTCTGTAGGGTAAGGCAGGTCCTAGTCAACAATGGCTTCTCCAATGGTTTCGTCGAAGACATCATAAGAAGGAAAGTGAAACGCCATGCAACCTCTGAGGTGACAACTAACACAACACCTATACCCCCTATTAAACTATTTTACAGGAACTTCTTTTCCACAGCTCATAAAACGGAGGAAAGGGTCCTGAAAGATATTGTTAATAGAAACGTTATCCCTACAGACAGAAATCAGAGGATACAACTGACGATTTACTATAAAACCAGAAAAACGGCCAGCCTACTCATGAGAAACTCTCCAGACACAAAACAGAACGCTTTAAAAGAGACTAACGTCGTCTATGCCTTCAAATGCCCTCTTGGGGACTGTAATCTCCAAAAAACCCAGTATATAGGCAAGACAACAACATCTCTTTCTAGGCGTTTAACGATGCATAAGCAACAGGGCTCCATTAAGGAACATATAATCTCTTCCCACAACCAAACCATCGCCAGAGAAATCCTAGTAAACAACACAGAAATCATCGATAGATACAGCGATAGCAGGCGGCTTGACGTTTGCGAGGCACTACACATCAAGAAGTCAACACCAGCAATCAACAGCCAATTAATGCACAACTATATTCTACCCACCTCAAGACTCCGCTCCAATATAGAAGCATCAAGAAATATGGACCAATAGGCTTTCTACAAACACTTCTATTCAATACCCATTGTTTCGTGTTCTGTCTTGTGTTGATGAAATTAATACCCTATTAATACCACCTCTTGTTCTGTCTTGTGTTGATGAAATTAATACCCTATTAATGCCACCTCGTGTTCTGTCTTGTGTTAATGCCACATCACCCCTTCCACCTCACTCAAATGTAGATATAAAATCGGAGATGCGTAAGTTCTATTCAGTTGTGTATTTGTGAACTAAAGTCTTTGAAAATGTAATAAGTTTTACGAAACGCGCTCGTGTCGCGTCAGACTAGAAATAAAAATGAATTTTGGAGAATTGATTTTTGATTTACCTCCAACAGTGAAAAGAAATGTACGAAAGATTGAGAAAATTCGTGTTAGAATTATTAATCTTACTTTTTCGGTCATATTTAATAATATATGTCTACAGGAAAGACTGCTACCAAAATATACTAATATATATATATATATATATATATATATATATATATATATATATATATATATATATATATATATATATATATACCTCTGGAGACCTCTGCCAGTGTGTTGCTGGAGACCTCTACTAGGGTGTTGTTGGAGACCTCTACTAGTGTGTTGCTGGAGACCTCTACTAGGGTGTTGTTGGAGACCTCTACCAGTGTGTTGTTGTACACCTCTGCCAGTTTATTGCAGGAGACCCCTGCCAGTGTGTTGCTGGAGACCCCAGCCAGTGTTGCTGGAGAGTACAAGTGGTGTTGTGGCAAAGTGAGGATACTGTGTAGGACTGGCCCATGACTAACTGAGAAAGGTAAACTCGCTGGCGTGAGGGAACCTTGAGTGGCGTATGATAGAAGAGAGAAGTGGACTGGCTTCTGATGGGAACATCATATCCTTTGGGAATGCATCGGATGAGGGAGTGGGGAATGCTTGGGAGGACGAGGGGACAGGGAAGGGGGTAATGGTGGGGAGGACTGGGAGACAGGGAAAGATTGCTGTGGCTCAGCAATGCACATGCATTGCTGAGCCACAGCAACAAGTGGCCGGGTACAGCTATTTATTATAATAAATTAAGAACATGAATTACTTAATTATGTTAGTTAAGGTTAGGTTAGGTTATTGCTGTATCCGCTCAGATGCCAGTGGACAATAATGGAATTACATTTGAAATCTGGAAATAGAATTGAGTAATGGAGCAATTATTGGGTAATATGATGACGTAGGATCGCCAGATTGTTTCAAGCGAAGGTTATACATATATATGAATTGGTTAAAAATAGGAGCTGCCTTGCATGGGACATACACCTGCAGAAGCTATGCAGTGACCTTCATTGATAGGTTCATGCGCAATTATATTATCTCTGGACATACCTAACTTAGCTGGGAGTAAAATAAACGACACAGAGGAAAATATAACAAATTTATTGACTGTGAAAGACGACATTTATGATCACAAACTCGATAACACATAACACTGTATTGACCCCGGAACTTTGTGTTGACCGTCGTCATGGAAGACGGAAGTTGGTGTAGAGTGTGCGGCCTCTGGATCTCTGGCAGACCAAGCTGGCTGATGACAGTAGCCATGCCCACGCTAGCCGGTATAACCACCCTAGTAATGCCCATGCTACATGTAGTAGCCACTGTAGCCATGCCCACGCTAGCCGGTATAACCACCCTAGTAATGCCCATGCTACATGTAGATGCCACTGTAGCCATGCCCATGCTAGCTGTAGTTGCTACAGTAGCCATGCCCACGCTAGCCGGTATAACCACCCTAGTAATGCCCATGCTACATGTAGATGCCACTGTAGCCATGCCCATGCTAGCTGTAGTTGCTACAGTAGCCATGCCCACGCTAGCCGGTATAATCACCGTAGTAATGTCCATGCTACATGTAGAAGCCACTGTAGCCATGCCCATGCTAGCTGTAGTAGCTACAATAGCCATGCTAGCCGTAGTAGCAATGCCCACGTTAGCCATAGTAACCACCGTAACCATAAGGACAGTAACCATAGTATGCATAGTAGTAGGAACAGTAACCATATCCACCATAGCCTCTGTACCCATAATAACCTCCGTACCCACCATAGCCTCTGTATCCGACATAGCCTCTGAATCCACCATAACCTCCATAACCTCTATACCCGCCATAGCCTCTGTATCCGCTGTAGCCTCTGTACCCGCCTCTGTATCCGCCTCTGAAACCCCCACCACCCCCTCTGCCATAACGTGGATCAGGGTCGGGCTGTGCCTCAGGTGAGGGGTCGGGCTGTGCCACAGGTGAAGGGTCGGGCTGTGCCACAGGTGAGGGGTCGGGCTGTGCCTCAGGTGAAGGGTCGGGCTGTGCCACAGGTGAGGGGTCGGGCTGTGCCACAGGTGAAGGGTCGGGCTGTGCCACAGGTGAGGGGTCGGGCTGTGCCACAGGCGAAGGGTCGGGCTGTGCATCAGGAGCGGGGATGGCCACAGTCAGCCCCAGCAACAGGCACAGCGCCACAACTAGCAGCTTCTGAGGGAAAAAATATATTAAATAATTGATGTCAAGAAAAACACTGTATTATATGGTAAGTAATATATAGATGGTGCAAGGTAGAGAAGAGAGAAGGAAGTGGAGGGATACATTAGAGGGAGGGAGGGAGGGATACATTAGAGGGAGGGAGCTAGGGATACATTAGAGGGAGGGAGGGAGGGAGGGAGGGCAAAAGACCTGTAGGTCTGCAGCGTGGTTATGTGTTGATGCAGTAGAGAGGTTTCCACTACCGGCACTACTTGTTCACCTTGTGTGTAAACAGTAGTCTGTAGAGTATAGGTGAAGGCTCTCTGCACACTCTACACTCCTTCCGGCTCATGCTGCCAGCTGGCTCAGGCTGCCAGCTGGCACAGGCTGCCAGCCGGCTCATGCTGCCAGCCGGCTCAGGCTGCCAGCTGGAACAACTTACTATATGTGGGAACCGACCTGTAAGATTTATATTTATTTAATTTATATGAATTTATATAGAATTTATATTTACGTTAATTTATATACTTCGATAGCAATTGGTATGATGATAAGTGGACTGTATTTCTGCAATAATCTCACAAATCGATCCTCTATACATTAGGGGGGGTTTATATTAAATTTATATATATGCAGCCAATCAAACTACAGTATTAAACTACATATATTGTTAAACATTGAAGAGGTTCCTTATCTTATTGTACAGCAGGCCTTAGTCCACCAGGTATAACCAGGATGTAGACACCACATTTTCCCTCGTGTGAGGTAGCTTCCAACAACCTGGTAACTGATGCACAAAGCATGCTTCCTCGTCTTGACCTGTCAAAAGGGCACTAACTATGAAGCCAGAATCCTAATATATGACAGCTATATCAGAGAAAACACTGTACATGGAACCATAAAGACCTAGGCTTAATTACCTTGTTTGAGTCGATCATTCGTGTTCTAACCGGCTCACCCCATCTACTGACATTAATGGCCAAAAATGATTAGATAAACGGGTTTCGGAAAGACACTTCCCTTGTATTTGTTGACAGCGTGTTGATGATGGCAGATTACTACTCTGATCTTCCATAACACTTCGTCCAAGAGAATTTATAGGAGCTGTAATTCGCTCCATGACTCTGTGGTCTTAAACAATAACAATGGCTGACCACTCCCTCCTCACTGACGCTACTGGCCTACATTGTCCAGATGACAATAAGTGATAGAAGGGTCACATTTACTCTATTTTAATATTGATAATTAAGTTAATTTATATGAGATGTTTTTATGATGGTAAAGTCCAAAGACTAATGTATTTAAGAATAATTCCCACCATAATAGGTGGTGAATTTATAATACTATGTGGTAATGATATCCCGTTTTCTATAGACGGAAATTCCATTACAAGTTACATTTTCTATGGGTTAACTTGTTTATACAACACAGCAATATTATCTGCCTGTATAATATTATTAAATGGTGTCGGATTTTCCGACACTATAGGAGCAGTACAATGCTGTGGTCCAAAAAGGTATTGAAATTTGACAGGAAAACTATACAATCATCTTGTTTTACAATTACTGAAAATATTGAGCAAATCCACTGGGACTCTTAGAGAATCGAACCCACGACCAACGGACTACCTGTACTGAATGGGGTGAGAATAGCTTGAGCTACCTCATCCCTTTGTGTGTATTTTGCCTCAATAAACTTATTTCAATTTCAATTTCAATTTCAACGGACTACCAGCCGCAACCTCTACCACTGTGCCACCCTGACTGGCTATAAGTTATACAACCTGAACAGTCTGGAGAGTCTGAACAGTCTGGACAGTCTGGGCAGTCTGGACAGTCTGGACAGTCTGAACAGTCTGGACAGTCTGAACAGTCTGGACAGTCTGAACAGTCTGGACAGTCTGAACAGTCTGGACAGTCTGGACAGTCTGGACAGTCTGAACAGTCTGGACAGTCTGGACAGTCTGGACAGTCTGGACAGTCTGGACAGTCTGAACAGTCTGGACAGTCTGAACAGTCTGGACAGTCTGAACAGTCTGGACAGTCTGGACAGTCTGGACAGTCTGGGCAGTCTGGACAGTCTGGACAGTCTGGACAGTCTGAACAGTCTGGACAGTCTGGACAGCCTGAACAGTCTGGACAGTCTGGACAGTCTGGACAGTCTGGGCAGTCTGGACAGTCTGGACAGTCTGAACAGTCTGGACAGCCTGAACAGTCTGGACAGTCTGGGCAGTCTGGACAGTCTGGACAGTCTGGGCAGTCTGGACAGTCTGGACAGTCTGGATAGTCTGGACAGTCTGGACAGTCTGAACAGTCTGGACAGTCTGGACAGTCTGGACAGTCTGGGCAGTCTGGACAGTCTGGACAGTCTAGACAGTCTGGACAGACTGGACAGTCTGGACAGTCTGGACAGTCTGGACAGTCTGAACAGTCTGGACAGTCTGAACAGTCTGGACAGTCTGGACAGTCTGAACAGTCTGAACAGTCTGGATAGTCTGGACAGTCTGGACAGTCTGGGCAGTCTGGACAGTCTGAACAGTCTGGACAGTCTGGACAGTCTGCGCAGTCTGGACAGTCTGGACAGTCTGGACAGTCTGAACAGTCTGGACAGTCTGAACAGTCTGAACAGTCTGGGTAGTCTGGACAGTCTGGACAGTCTGGACAGTCTGGGCAGTCTGGACAGTCTGGACAGTCTGGACAGTCTGGACAGTCTGAACAGTCTGAACAGTCTGGATAGTCTGGACAGTCTGGACAGTCTGGACAGTCTGGACAGTCTGAACAGTCTGGACAGTCTGGACAGTCTGAACAGTCTGGACAGTCTGGACAGTCTGGACAGTCTGAACAGTCTGAACAGTCTGAACAGTCTGGACAGTCTGAACAGTCTGAACAGTCTGGACAGTCTGGACAGTCTGAACAGTCTGAACAGTCTGAACAGTCTGAACAGTCTGGACAGTCTGGACAGTCTGAAGAGTCTGGACAGTCTGGACAGTCTGAACAGTCTGGACAGTCTGGACAGTCTGAACAGTCTGGACAGTCTGGACAGTCTGAACAGTCTGAACAGTCTGAACAGTCTGAACAGTCTGGACAGTCTGGACAGTCTGAACAGTCTGAACAGTCTGAACAGTCTGAACAGTTTGGACAGTCTGGACAGTCTGGACAGTCTGGACAGTCTGAACAGTATGGACAGTCTGGACAGTCTGGACAGTCTGGGCAGTCTGGACAGTCTGGACAGTCTGGACAGTCTGGACAGTCTGGACAGGTAGTCTGGAGGCCTCTCCTGATGACACGCCAGGGGAAAAGAACTATCAGGAGAAAACACCAAGCCATCAAAAATGGAAGACTCACCAAGTTGACGTATGACCCCCAGGTGCCCGGGTGGGGGTACAGTAGGTGGGGTGTGACCCCCAGGTGCCCGGGTGTGGGTAAGTTAGGTGGGGTGTGACCCCCAGGTGCCCGGGTGGGGGTACAGTAGGTGGGGTGTGACCCCCAGGTGCCCGGGTGTGGGTAAGTTAGGTGGGGTGTGACCCCCAGGTGCCCGGGTGGGGGTACAGTAGGTGGGGTGTGACCCCCAGGTGCCCGGGTGGGGATACAGTAGGTGGGGTATGACCCCCAGGTGCCCGGGTGTGGGTAAGGTATGTGGGGTATGACCCCCCGGTGCCTGGGTGTGGGTAAGGTATGTGGGGTATGACCCCCCGGTGCCTGGGTGTGGGTAAGGTATGTGGGGTATGACCCCCAGGTGCCCGGGTGTGGGTAAGGTATGTGGGGTATGACCCCCAGGTGCCTTGGTGTGGGTAAGGTATGTGGGGTATGACCCCCAGGTGCCCGGGTGTGGGTAAGGTATGTGGGGTATGACCCCCAGGTGCCTGGGTGTGGGTAAGGTATGTGGGGTATGACCCCCAGGTGCCCGGGTGTGGGTAAAGTATGTGGGGTATGACCCCCAGGTGCCTGGGTGTGGGTAAGGTATGTGGGGTATGACCCCCCGGTGCCTGGGTGTGGGTAAGGTATGTGGGGTATGACCCCCCGGTGTCTGGGTGTGGGTAAGGTATGTGGGGTATGACCCCCAGGTGCCCGGGTGTGGGTAAGGTATGTGGGGTATGACCCCCAGGTGCCTGGGTGTGGGTAAGGTATGTGGGGTATGACCCCCAGGTGCCCGGGTGTGGGTAAAGTATGTGGGGTATGACCCCCAGGTGCCTGGGTGTGGTAAGGTGTGGGGTATGTCCCCCGGTGGGTGTGGGGTATGTCCCCCGGTGCCTGGGTGTGGGTAAGGTATGTGGGGTATGACCCCCCGGTGCCTGGGTGTGGGTAAGGTATGTGGGGTATGACCCCCCGGTGTCTGGGTGTGGGTAAGGTATGTGGGGTATGACCCCCAGGTGCCTGGGTGTGGGTAAGTTAGGTGGGGTATGACCCCCAGGTGCCCGGGTGTGGGTAAGTTAGGTAGGGTATGACCCCCAGGTGCCTGGGTGTGGGTAAGTTAGGTGGGGTATGACCCCCAGGTGCCTGGGTGTGGGTAAGTTAGGTGAGGTATGACCCCCAGGTGCCTGGGTGTGGGTAAGTTAGGTGAGGTATGACCCCCAGGTGCCTGGGTGTGGGTAAGTTAGGTGGGGTATGACCCCCAGGTGCCTGGGTGTGGGTAAGTTAGGTTGGGTATGACCCCCAGGTGCCTGGGTGTGGGTACGTTAGGTGGGGTATGACCCCCAGGTGCCTTGGTGTGGGTAGGTTAGGTTGGGTATGACCCCCAGGTGCCCGGGTGTGGGTAAGTTAGGTTGGGTATGACCCCCAAGTGCCTGGGTGTGGGTAAGTTAGGTAGGGTATGACCCCCAGGTGCCTGGGTGTGGGTAAGTTAGGTAGGGTATGACCCCCAGGTGCCCGGGTGTGGGTAAGGTATGTGGGGTATGACCCCCAGGTGCCTGGGTGTGGGTAAGTTAGGTGGGGTATGACCCCCAGGTGCCCGGGTGTGGGTAAGTTAGGTAGGGTATGACCCCCAGGTGCCTGGGTGTAGGTAAGTTAGGTGGG